AATGTGATGCATGTTTTATGTCAAATCCTAAATTGGAGACGTATATTTACAATAACTATACATTCTTATTAAAATATACTTCATTAGGATATAAATAGGAATAAAAGAAATTTTAGACCAATTTGTTATAAAGCTTCAATCTGTTGTTTCAGTGAAAACTGATTTTAATGCCTAACAAATACTAGAGGCTCCAAGGAGCCTGTGTCGCTCACCTGATATTTTTATTTACAATTGATGCATGAAATAATGCAACCGTTATACATTTGCTTTAGTTTTCAGAGATACAAGTCAAAAACTGCATTTTCCCCCAAAGTTCTATTTTTAGCCATGTCTGACATGTTGGTTGGCAGGCAGGGTCATCGGACACATTTATTAAACTAGATACCCTAGTGATGATTGTGGCCAAGTTTGGTTAAATTTGTCTCAGTTGTTTCAGGAGAGAAGATTTTTGTAAAAGATTACAAAAATTTACGAATAATTGTTAAATTTGACTTTAAAGGGCAATAACTCCTTATGGGGTCAATTGACCATATTGGTCATGTTGACTTCTTTGTAGATCTGACTTTGCTGAACATAATGGCTGTTTACAGTTTATCTCCATCTATAATAATATTCAAGATAACAAAAAACTGCAAAATTTCCTTAAAATTACTAATTCAGGGGCAGCAACCCAACAAAGGGTTGTCTGATTCATCTGAAAATTTCAGGGCAGATAGATCTTAACCAGATGAACATTTTTACCCATAGTCAGATTTGCTCTAAATGCTTTAGTTTCAGAGATATAAGCCAAAAACTGCATTTTACCCCTATGTTCTATTTTTAGCCATGTCGGCCATCTTGGTTGGCAGGCGGGGTCATCGGACACATTTTTAAAACTAGATACTAGACGGACGCCAAGTGATGAGAAAAGCTCACTTGGCCCTGTGGGCCAGGTGAGCTAATAAACCTAGTTTAAATAAAAAAATTGTAATGAATAAATACCTACATGTGAATAATCCTAATGTGCTATCTACAATGAAACCATTTTCATTGTCGAAGAGTGTAACATATTTAGGCGTTATCTGTAACAAAAACAAAAATTGTAAATTAGTATCAGCTTTAAATAGGGAATATTTGATGTTGAAATCAATTCAGAAATTAATGTGATGCATGTTTTATGTCAAATCCTAAATTGGAGACTAAAATATTTACAATTACTTATTACAGTAAATATTTGAATAAAAGAAATGTTCGACAAATTTGTAATAAAATTTTAAACTGTTGTTCAACGGGAAAACTGATTTTTGTTACCCAACACATATAAAAAGAGTTAAAAGTACAATTATAATGACCAAATACCTACATGATACAAATCTTCGTGTGCTGTATACCATGAAAGCATCTTCATTGTCTAGGAGGGTAACATATCTAGTCTGTATCTGTTACAAAAACAAAAACTCTAAATCAGTATCAGCTTTAAATAGAGAATATTGGTTGTTGCAATTAATTCAAAATTAATATGATGCATTTTTGATGAAAAATCCTAATCTGAAGAGAAGTATATAAACAATTTCTATACATTATCATTAAAATAATCTTCATAAGAGTATAAATTTGAATTGAAGAAATTTTAAATCAATTTGTAATCAAATCTAATTTAAGCTTCCAGGGAAAACTTATTTTTGTTACCTGCCAACTATATAAACATAGTTTAAAGTACAATTAAAAATACCAAATACCTACATGCTACGTATCCAGATGTGTGATCAATCTACCATGAAACCATCTTCATCGTCTAGGAGTGTAACATATTTCGGCTGTATCTATAACAAAACCAAATCATCAATTAGTATCAGCTTCAAATAGAGACTATTGGCTGTTGCAACAATTATAAAATAAATGTCACTCATATTTTATGTCAAATCCTAAATTGGACACAAGAATATTTAAAATTACTACACATTCATGTTAAAATTTACTTCACTAGATTATAAATTTGAACAAAAGAAATATGTACACTAATTTGAAATAATATTTTATTTAAGCTGTTGTTCCAGGTAAAACTGATATTTATTACCCAACACATATAAACATAGTCTAAAGTACAATTGTAATGACTACCTACATGTTAAACATCCTAATGTGCATCTACCATGAAACCATATTCATTGGGTAGGAGTGGAACATATATGGGCTGTATCTGTTTCAAAAGAAAAAATTTAAATTAGCATCAGCTTTAGAGAATATTTAATGGCTGTTAAAAAAATTCAAAAATTAATGTGGTCAAATCTTAAATTACAGACAATTAATTTACAATTACTTGTTCATTCTTATTAAAATATACCACATTTGAAATTCGAATAAAAGATATTTTAGACCAATCTGTAATAAAATTTTAAGCTATTGTTTCAGTGAAAACCGATTTTTATTGACTTCCAAATATTAACATAGTTTTAAGTACAATTGTAATGACCAAATACTTACATGTTGACTCTTCCTATCTGCCATGAATCCATCTTCTCTGTCTAGGAGTGCAACATATTTAGATGTATCTTTAACAAAAACTATAAATTAATATCAGCTTTAAATACAGACTATTTGCTGTTGCAATTTTTTCAGAATTTAATCTTTGCATGTTGGACAAGAATATTTATAATTACTATACATTCCATTAAGAATATATTTCATTAGAGTATAAATTTGAAGAAATTTTTTTGAGACCAATTTGTAATAAAGTTTCAAATTGGTTGATAATGAAATAGAGCCAGACAAAAAAACTAAATACATTTTACCATAAACACAAGTTATCATACTATGTAATCAGCTCTGCTGGGGGATCTGCTTTTACGAGATTAGCGCCCATTAAAATTCATCAATGTTATATCAAAATCTAAAGTTTGCTCTCTGCAGAGGTCTGCTTTTACGAGACCCATTTTAACATAAAGCATCTTTTTGTCAAACTGTTCAGGAAAAAACGGATTTTTATTACCTAACAAACATAAACATAAGTTTTAAGAACAATTGTAATGACCAAATACCTACATGTGCAACATCCTAATGTGTGAAAGCATCTTTCATGGTATAGGAGTGTTACATATTAAGGCTGTATAATCTGTAACAAAAACAAAAATTATTAATTAGTTTACGCTTTAAATCCAGACTCTTTGCTGTTGCAATCAATTCAGAAAATAATGTGATGCATGTTTTATGTTAAATCCCAAAATAGAGAAAAGTATATAATTACAATTACTATACGTTCTTATTAAAATATTCAGCATTAAGAGTATAAATTTGAATGAAAGAAATTTTAGACCAATTTGTTATAAAGCTTCAATCTGTTGTTTCAGGAAAAAACTGATTTTTATTACCTAACAAATATAAATATAGTTTGAAGGAAAATTGTAATGACCAAATACCTACATGTGACTTATCCTAATGTGCATCTGCAATGGAAGCATCTTTCATGGTATAGGAGTCTTACATATTTAGGCTGTATCTGTAATGAAAACAAAAAAAATAAACATTAATTTCAGCTTTTAATCCAGACTATTTGCTGTTGCAATCAATTCAGAAATTAATGTGATGCATGTTGTAATGTCAAATCCTTAATTGGAGACAAGAATTTTTACAATCACTATACATTCTTATTAAAATATATCTCATTACAGTGAATATTTTAATAAATGTAATGTAGGACCAATTTGTAATAAAATTTCAAGCTGTTGTTCCAGGAAAAACTGATTTTTATTACCTAACAAATATAAACACAGTTTTAAGAACAATTGTTATGAATAAAAACCTACATGTGACTAATCCTAATGTGCTATCTGCAATGGAAGCATCTTTCATGGTATAGGAGTCTTACATATTTAGGCAGTATCTGTAACAAAAACAAATATTTTAAATTAGTTTCAGCTTCAAAATCAAAGCTATTTGCTGTTGCAATCAATTCAGAAATTAATGTGATGCATGTTTTATGTCAAATCCTAAATTGGAGACGTATATTTACAATAACTATACATTCTTATTAAAATATACTTCATTAGGATATAAATAGGAATAAAAGAAATTTTAGACCAATTTGTTATAAAGCTTCAATCTGTTGTTTCAGTGAAAACTGATTTTAATGCCTAACAAATACTAGAGGCTCCAAGGAGCCTGTGTCGCTCACCTGATATTTTTATTTACAGTTGATGCATGAAATAATGCAACCGTTATACATTTGCTTTAGTTTTCAGGGATACAAGTCAAAAACTGCATTTTCCCCCAAAGTTCTATTTTTAGCCATGTCTGACATGTTGGTTGGCAGGCAGGGTCATCGGACACATTTATTAAACTAGATACCCTAGTGATGATTGTGGCCAAGTTTGGTTAAATTTGTCTCAGTTGTTTCAGGAGAGAAGATTTTTGTAAAAGATTACAAAAATTTACGAATAATTGTTAAATTTGACTTTAAAGGGCAATAACTCCTTATGGGGTCAATTGACCATATTGGTCATGTTGACTTCTTTGTAGATCTGACTTTGCTGAACATAATGGCTGTTTACAGTTTATCTCCATCTATAATAATATTCAAGATAACAAAAAACTGCAAAATTTCCTTAAAATTACTAATTCAGGGGCAGCAACCCAACAAAGGGTTGTCTGATTCATCTGAAAATTTCAGGGCAGATAGATCTTAACCAGATGAACATTTTTACCCATAGTCAGATTTGCTCTAAATGCTTTAGTTTCAGAGATATAAGCCAAAAACTGCATTTTACCCCTATGTTCTATTTTTAGCCATGTCGGCCATCTTGGTTGGCAGGCGGGGTCATCGGACACATTTTTAAAACTAGATACCCTAGTGATGATTGTGGGAAGTTTGGTTAAATTTGGCCCAGTCGTTTCAGAGGAGATTTTTGTAAAAGTTAACGGACGACGACGGACGCCAAGTGATGAGAAAAGCTCATTGGCCCTGTGGGCCAGGTGAGCTAATAAACCTAGTTTAAATAAAAAAATTGTAATGAATAGATACCTACATGTGACTTATCCTAATGTGCTATCTACAATGAAACCATTTTCATTGTCGAAGAGTGTAACATATTTAGGCGTTATCTGTAACAAAAACAAAAATTGTAAATTAGTATCAGCTTTAAATAGGGAATATTTGATGTTGCAATCAATTCAGAAATTAATGTGATGCATGTTTTATGTCAAATCCTAAATTGGAGACTAGAATATTTACAATTACTTAACTTATTACAGTAAATATTTGAATAAAAGAAATGTTCGACAAATTTGTAATAAAATTTTAAACTGTTGTTCAACGGGAAAACTGATTTTTGTTACCCAACACATATAAAAAGAGTTAAAAGTACAATTATAATGACCAAATACCTACATGATACAAATCTTCGTGTGCTGTATACCATGAAAGCATCTTCATTGTCTAGGAGGGTAACATATCTAGTCTGTATCTGTTACAAAAACAAAAACTCTAAATCAGTATCAGCTTTAAATAGAGAATATTGGTTGTTGCAATTAATTCAAAATTAATATGATGCATTTTTGATGAAAAATCCTAATTTGAAGACAAGTATATAAACAATTTCTATACATTATCATTAAAATAATCTTCATAAGAGTATAAATTTGAATTGAAGAAATTTTAAATCAATTTGTAATCAAATCTAATTTAAGCTTCCAGGGAAAACTTATTTTTGTTACCTGCAAACCATATAAACATAGTTTAAAGTACAATTAAAAATACCAAATACCTACATGCTACATATCCAGATGTGTGATCAATCTACCATGAAACCATCTTCATTGTCTAGGAGTGTAACATATTTCGGCTGTATCTATAACAAAACCAAATCATCAATTAGTATCAGCTTCAAATAGAGACTATTGGCTGTTGCAACAATTATAAAATAAATGTCACTCATATTTTATGTCAAATCCTAAATTGGACACAAGAATATTTAAAATTACTACACATTCATGTTAAAATTTACTTCACTAGATTATAAATTTGAACAAAAGAAATATGTACACTAATTTGAAATAATATTTTATTTAAGCTGTTGTTCCAGGTAAAACTGATATTTATTTAATATTACCCAACACATATAAACATAGTCTAAAGTACAATTGTAATGACTACCTACATGTTAAACATCCTAATGTGCATCTACCATGAAACCATATTCATTGGGTAGGAGTGGAACATATCTGGGCTGTATCTGTTTCAAAAGAAAAAAATTAAATTAGCATCAGCTTTAGAGAATATTTAATGGCTGTTAAAAAAATTAAAAAATTAGTGTGATTCATGTTTTATGTCAAATCTTAAATTACGGACAATTAATTTACAATTACTCTTTCATTCTTATTAAAATATACCACATTTGAAATTCAAATAAAAGATATTTTAGACCAATCTGTAATAAAATTTTAAGCTATTGTTTCAGTGAAAACCGATTTTTATTGACTTCCAAATATTAACATAGTTTTAAGTACAATTGTAATGACCAAATACTTACATGTTGACTCTTCCTATCTGCCATGAATCCATCTTCTCTGTCTAGGAGTGCAACATATTTAGATGTATCTTTAACAAAAACTATAAATTAATATCAGCTTTAAATACAGACTATTTGCTGTTGCAATTTTTTCAGAATTTAATCTTTGCATGTTGGACAAGAATATTTATAATTACTATACATTCCATTAAGAATATATTTCATTAGAGTATAAATTTGAAGAAATTTTTTTGAGACCAATTTGTAATAAAGTTTCAAATTGGTTGATAATGAAATAGAGCCAGACAAAAAAACTAAATACATTTTACCATAAACACAAGTTATCATACTATGTAATCAGCTCTGCTGGGGGATCTGCTTTTACGAGATTAGCGCCCATTAAAATTCATCAATGTTATATCAAAATCTAAAGTTTGCTCTCTGCAGAGGTCTGCTTTTACGAGACCCATTTTAACAACAAGCATCATTTTGTCAAACTGTTCAGGAAAAAACGGATTTTTATTACCTAACAAACAAACATAAGTTTTAAGAACAATTGTAATGACCAAATACCTACATGTGCAACATCCTAATGTGTGAAAGCATCTTTCATGGTATAGGAGTGTTACATATTAAGGCTGTATAATCTGTAACAAAAACAAAAATTATTAATTAGTTTACGCTTTAAATCCAGACTCTTTGCTGTTGCAATCAATTCAGAAAATAATGTGATGCATGTTTTATGTTAAATCCCAAAATAGAGAAAAGTATATAATTACAATTACTATACGTTCTTATTAAAATATTCAGCATTAAGAGTATAAATTTGAATGAAAGAAATTTTAGACCAATTTGTTATAAAGCTTCAATCTGTTGTTTCAGGAAAAAACTGATTTTTATTACCTAACAAATATAAATATAGTTTGAAGGAAAATTGTAATGACCAAATACCTACATGTGACTTATCCTAATGTGCATCTGCAATGGAAGCATCTTTCATGGTATAGGAGTCTTACATATTTAGGCTGTATCTGTAATGAAAACAAAAAAAATAAACATTAATTTCAGCTTTTAATCCAGACTATTTGCTGTTGCAATCAATTCAGAAATTAATGTGATGCATGTTGTAATGTCAAATCCTTAATTGGAGACAAGAATTTTTACAATCACTATACATTCTTATTAAAATATATCTCATTACAGTGAATATTTCAATAAATGTAATGTAGGACCAATTTGTAATAAAATTTCAAGCTGTTGTTCCAGGAAAAACTGATTTTTATTACCTAACAAATATAAACACAGTTTTAAGAACAATTGTTATGAATAAAAACCTACATGTGACTAATCCTAATGTGCTATCTGCAATGGAAGCATCTTTCATGGTATAGGAGTCTTACATATTTAGGCAGTATCTGTAACAAAAACAAATATTTTAAATTAGTTTCAGCTTCAAAATCAAAGCTATTTGCTGTTGCAATCAATTCAGAAATTAATGTGATGCATGTTTTATGTCAAATCCTAAATTGGAGACGTATATTTACAATAACTATACATTCTTATTAAAATATACTTCATTAGGATATAAATAGGAATAAAAGAAATTTTAGACCAATTTGTTATAAAGCTTCAATCTGTTGTTTCAGTGAAAACTGATTTTAATGCCTAACAAATACTAGAGGCTCCAAGGAGCCTGTGTCGCTCACCTGATATTTTTATTTACAATTGATGTATGAAATAATGCAACCGTTATACATTTGCTTTAGTTTCAGAGATACAAGTCAAAAACTGCATTTTCCCCCAAAGTTCTATTTTTAGCCATGTCTGACATCGGACACATTTATTAAACTAGATACCCTAGTGATGATTGTGGCCAAGTTTGGTTAAATTTGTCTCAGTTGTTTCAGGAGAGAAGATTTTTGTAAAAGATTACAAAAATTTACGAATAATTGTTAAATTTGACTTTAAAGGGCGATAACTCCTTATGGGGTCAATTGACCATATTGGTCATGTTGACTTCTTTGTAGATCTGACTTTGCTGAACATAATGGCTGTTTACAGTTTATCTCCATCTATAATAATATTCAAGATAACAAAAAACTGCAAAATGTCCTTAAAATTACTAATTCAGGGGCAGCAACCCAACAAAGGGTTGTCTGATTCATCTGAAAATTTCAGGGCAGATAGATCTTAACCAGATGAACATTTTTACCCATAGTCAGATTTGCTCTAAATGCTTTAGTTTCAGAGATATAAGCCAAAAACTGCATTTTACCCCTATGTTCTATTTTTAGCCATGTCGGCCATCTTGGTTGGCAGTCGGAGTCATCGGACACATTTTTAAAACTAGATACCCTAGTGATGATTGTGGCCAAGTTTGGTTAAATTTGGCCCAGTCGTTTCAGAGGAGATTTTTGTAAAAGTTAACGGACGACGACGGACGCCAAGTGATGAGAAAAGCTCATTGGCCCTGTGGGCCAGGTGAGCTATATATAATAACTTAGTTTAAATAAAAAAATTGTAATGAATAGATACCTACATGTGACTAATCCTAATGTGCTATCTACAATGAAACCATTTTCATTGTCGAAGAGTGTAACATATTTAGGCGTTATCTGTAACAAAAACAAAAATTGTAAATTAGTATCAGCTTTAAATAGGGAATATTTGATGATGCAATCAATTCAGAAATTAATGTGATGCATGTTTTATGTCAAATCCTAAATTGGAGAATAGAATATTTACAATTACTTAACTTATTACAGTAAATATTTGAATAAAAGAAATGTTCGACAAATTTGTAATAAAATTTTAAACTGTTGTTCAACGGGAAAACTGATTTTTGTTACCCAACACATATAAAAAGAGTTAAAAGTACAATTATAATGACCAAATACCTACATGATACAAATCTTCGTGTGCTGTATACCATGAAAGCATCTTCATTGTCTAGGAGGGTAACATATCTAGTCTGTATCTGTTACAAAAACAAAAACTCTAAATCAGTATCAGCTTTAAATAGAGAATATTGGTTGTTGCAATTAATTCAAAATTAATATGATGCATTTTTGATGAAAAATCCTAATCTGAAGAGAAGTATATAAACAATTTCTATACATTATCATTAAAATAATCTTCATAAGAGTATAAATTTGAATTGAAGAAATTTTAAATCAATTTGTAATCAAATCTAATTTAAGCTTCCAGGGAAAACTTATTTTTGTTACCTGCCAACCATATAAACATAGTTTAAAGTACAATTAAAAATACCAAATACCTACATGCTACGTATCCAGATGTGTGATCAATCTACCATGAAACCATCTTCATTGTCTAGGAGTGTAACATATTTCGGCTGTATCTATAACAAAACCAAATCATCAATTAGTATCAGCTTCAAATAGAGACTATTGGCTGTTGCAACAATTATAAAATAAATGTCACTCATATTTTATGTCAAATCCTAAATTGGACACAAGAATATTTAAAATTACTACACATTCATGTTAAAATTTACTTCACTAGATTATAAATTTGAACAAAAGAAATATGTACACTAATTTGAAATAATATTTTATTTAAGCTGTTGTTCCA